CTAGATATTTATGATTTGTCATGTATGTAAACCTGTAGCTTCAACTTTTTATCTGAACTGACACTTCATTGGCATTTGTTGCTTTGGCAACAGAGCTTACATATCTCCATCAGTGTCTTCTTTCTTACTCTCTACACAGTGAGACTTGACTGCCTCCTCAGTCCATCCAGTCGTATTTTCATCTAGCCCACAGATGGCAGGAATCAGATAGCACCATATCCACTTCATCAAAGTCCTCAGACCAAAAGGATTCTCAGCTGACATTGTAAGATGTCACCACTGTGCCTATGAAGAATCAGGATTAAGGCAAATATACACTCACATGCATAGTTTCAGAGAAGGAGGCTGACTTTAGGATAAACTGACAGGGATATCAAAGTCATTAAAGTACTTAATGTAGTAGGAAGTTACAACAACTATGGAGACAGGCATGAAAAGAATCTGACCACCCCTTAGTGCTTAAATATACCTAAATAAATAAAGTTATTCCTCTTTCTCTCCCTTAGTTTCCTCAAAAAAAAAAAAAAGCCCCTTCAAGGGCTCCTTGTGGTAGCTGATTGTAACCAACTAGTATAATTATGGATTTTCAATTTGATCCATCTTCTATGCTTTTTAGAGCCATCATCAAAAGCAGTAAAGAAAGTTCCTGCCGGAGCAGTTTCTCTCTTTCCAGGTATGAATAATAAAGAATTGACCAATCATCTGCAAACTTTTTATCTTTAAGTTTACTAATTGATCATAAACTATCCTAATTCCTAAGTATTCCATGGTATGGAATCTGCAAATCATTTAATCAACTTCCTTAAAGAAGGAAGCTATCACTGATGCTTTAATTGATCTGAACAAATGGCATTTCCATTTTCTATCTTCAAGGGAATGATTTTTCTGTCAATAGGTTTAGCTTCACACATTATACTAAATCGGAATAAAGTTTTCTTGTTTGTGGCTTGCATGTTATGTGAACCAAACCAGTTATGTTTTCAGTAAACTAATTTTAAACAAATGATGGCTTAGCAAGATACATGAATTCAGTCAGAGACCTCTATTAAGCAGCTGTTGCATGTTTACAACATTTCTGGAGATTGAGCAGCTGTCACCTGGCAGTGTTCTGGGACACAACTTAGCATAAACAGTCACCCTCATTTATGCTCCAACCATTAGACATTATTGCTCTACTGGACCTAACATTTAAGATGGGGTCTGACCAACACATAATAAAATGGGATTGTTACTTCCTGAAATTTAGGAATTGTACTTTTGTTCCTGCATTTACTTTTTTATAACCATATCAACATTTCTAACTTGTATTCCTCTTTGAAAAACCTGGCTTTTTTTGTAGTTACATTGGCTTCTTCTGCCCTCCATTTTTCGTCATTGGAATTGTTAATATTTAACATCTGTTCTTTTATTATCTTCTTTTTAAGGAAAATGTGTCTTTTCCCATTAGCTTTTCCTGTTATGAAATTCTACTTATTGTTGCTCTATATTTATTAATATTAGCTTTTTAAAGTCTAAGATGCATATTTGATTTCACTCAGCTTTAGTGTCTCTTAAAATAAATTTTAAAAAGCAGCATTACATGGTCATTTTCTCCCAATGTTCCTGTTACTTCCACTTTTTTCTCTTAAGTATTCTCTACTGATTAATATTAAGCCAGGAATAGCTCTTGCACCATCTCTGAGCTGCGAGGTGATCAGCAACACAGATTTTCTCAAAGGACCATGCTTGGCAGAGTCTTCCAGAAGATCTGGTTTGTGTATCCCACCAATACAGAGCAGCAAATTTTGTTCATTCAGATTTTTCAAGCAAAATTCTATCAAATGCCTTTGCTAAACATGCTTAACAAACCAATCACCCTGTAGTTTTTCATTCCTCTTGTTACTTCTCTCTCTATATAATGGAACATTAATACAGGTAGTCCTTACTTAGTGACTACCTCGGACAGCGACCATTCACAGTTACAACAGTGATGAAAAAGTAACTTTGCAATCTAAGTCCAAATTTACATCCTTCACAGGTCTGTAAAGCAAAAGAAAGCTGAAGTAAGATCATAAGCACTGTGGTGGTTGCATGATTTGTCACTTAGTGACTGCTTTGCTTAACGACTGAGTTGCCAGTCCCAATTGTGGTCGCTAAACGAGGACTACCTGTAGCATTGTTTTGGTTATTAGTCACAGATGCTGGCTTCGTACACATTTTTAAAAAATCTATCACATCCATATTTTACCATTTCTCATTTATACTATCTGTCTGCAGCCTCAACCATTTTTCACCATTCTCACAGCACTTACGATTTCTTTTTCATCATTTCTTTCTTAGACGCTATTTCAGTTTCACTATCATCCTATACATATTTCTAAAACATTTCTTTTAGCATTCCCTTACTTCAGTTTCATCTCAAACTATTTCATCACTTTTATCCTTAATTCCATTCTCTTAATCCTTTTACCTATTTTCAAAAGTTTATTATTTCCATCAAAACTGCTTTACATTTTCTCTGCTTATTTAATCTTAACTGTTTCTTTCTTTCTTGGCAATTATCCTTTTCTTCCTATTCATATTATACAGTATGTTTCTCTTGTTGTCATTATCTGCAGCAATCATTAATAGAGTCACACTAATGACTCTACGCTTTTGTGTCACTTTATAATATAATTCTTATGGCTCTGTTCCAAGCAGTTTCTACATCAGCTTTCCTTGTGTGTACTTTCCATTCATTCTGCTTGGAGATTAATCTGTACTCTTATACTTTTTTGTATAGCCCATTCACTTTTTCTGTATTCTGTCATCTTGCTCCCAATAATCCATTCATGTTAATTAACAGAATAAATTTTCAGTTATGTCAGAGAGTACAAAATACTGAAGTAGGTTAAGAGATATCTGCTTGCAAGTGAGCACATCTCATAGAGGTCTTTTATATCATAGATGATACTGTATAAGGGCTAAGCAACATAGCTACCCTATGTTCCCATAGCTACCCTAGCTTGAATCTAAGATTCTTATCATGAATTAATGGTTTAAAGGAGGCTGCTTTTAACAATGTCTCATAAGCTAGCAAAATGTTATTGTATGCTATGTAATAAGGGAGTGTAAAGCTCACTGAACACTTGAAAGCATTCTCCCAGGGATTGTTATTCATACTTGGAGAAGAGTACTTGTTCTGGGATTTAAATTATGTTTTGTCATTCTAAATACATTCTGCTGGCCAGCAGAGAAGTTAAAATTATTTACAGATAGTCACCTACTTACGAACGGGTTATGTTCCAAGAGGCTCTTTGTAAGCCTGTTTTATTCATAAGTCCAACAAGCAAAAAAAAAAAAAAAAGAGGTGGAGGCAGGGCATGGGGTGCTCCATTGCCAGGCAAGTCAGGAGACCTCTGACCCCTTTCCCCCATCCTCTGCCACCACCCCCTCTCCTGCCTCAACTGGCAATGGAGCACACTGCGTAAACTAACCTTTTCTGAGAACTCCAACTTCTGCAAACCTCAAATGCAAACGGGGTGCTGGAGAAGGTGGGGAAGGGTTAGTTTGTGGTGTGCTGCAAAGTAACCCTTTCCTGCCTTCTCCCGACTTCTGGCTCCAACTTCTGGCCCGACTGCTGGTTCTGACTTCTGGGTCCCTCCTGTTTGTATCGGCGAAAGTTTACAAGTAGGGGACTGTCTGTATCTTGATTTAACAGTGCTGTGGATCTGAAGAAACGTATTTAAGTTTTGTGATTGCTACTTTTGGCAGAACAGTTTTGCTTTGGAAACTAGTATTTGAAAAACCTCTTCTTAAAAATATTGTTAAAGAATAAGAATACTTATAGTTAAAATGGTACTGTCCATTCACAAGCAGTGAAGTATCAGCATATTTGGAAGATGAACAGTGAGGTTTTTTTAAAAGTTTATTGTGGGGGAAGACTCCCCAGATATGAATGTGCCTAATGATTTGTAAAGCAAATTCTTAATTTGTTTGCCCCATTGATCATGAAAATATTTTTAAGTAAGACACTTCATAGAACTCCAGCTCTAGATATCAGATGACTATATTTAAACCCTGTTCACAGGTATAAATGATGTATTTAGCCCTTCTTCAGTTCCATTGGAGAAAGAGAATAAAAGGTTGACAGAATCAGTCACAGATAAATCTCCCAAGCTAGATGAAGCTCCTGGTCTATTTGATGAGGATGACAACTTTGAATCCAATAAGAGTAGCTCTGTTATAGGTAAGTTTCTAAAACTTAAATATATTTAATTCCCTTTTTTCTCACTTTCTTTTATCATAATTAAAAGAGCTTTGAATTTTATTAGGCAGTGTATCTTAGTTTGTGATCGTGCACTTGATAGTGAAATATAGTCAGCTATTTTTCTGTAGTCTCCTGTCACATTAATAAAAGTTTATTGCATACTACATTTAATTTATAACTTTCATGCTATGTAAAGTATTTAGTAAAAATGAAAGCATTTTAATTGGGTGTGAGATCCCTCCTTGATTATTTTTTATGTACATATGTACAACTTGTGTTTTACCAGTATTACTGCTTTGTTAATTGACTTCCTCTGTTGCTGATAACTCTGATCGCAAAGTGAACTCTTTGTGTCTTGCTTTTGAATAGCTAAATCTTCTGTGGATTTCTTTGATGTTGATGGGGATCTATTCAAGGAAAGGCCTGACATTATCAACATTGCAAAAAATGTGGCTAAAGAAGCTAAAATAAATAAAGAACTGACAGCAGGAGAAAAGGTAATCAAACGCAAGTAATAGTTTCTTTTTCTTTGTGAACAGATTTTTTTTAAAAAAAATGCTGCATTGAGCATTCAGTTTCTAATGACTTGCCTCAGTTTCTACATCCAGTGAACTTAGATGTGAGACACTTAATTCCCCTCCTCCCAAATCTACCAAATATTTTGCAGTTGGTAAAAGCAGATAGCTCCTCTTTTGCTCTAGGACAAAGAGAAGAGCTTGACTTAATGATGTTGTGGAAGAGATGTACTACCTGGTTTATTGTTACTACTTCAGAGCCCACTGAGCAGACTGTTCTGCTTGATTTAGCTAGAATCTTCTTCCATCTATGCTTTGGTCTAGTTCTTGTCATTTCAAGATTTCTATTGAAAGTTAAGGAGAAGCTCTTCACAAAAGTAGCACATGATGCTTGGAAATATCTGTTCATGTTTTACACCAAGAACAGGTACATTTTTGGTTGGGAGGCCAAACATTTTTTTTAGATTTTTTTTATCTCACCTTTAATATTTTTATAAATAACTCAAGGCAGCAAACATGCCTAATACTCCTTCCTCCTC